ATCTGACAAGGTGATATATTTATTGACAAATTAAAGTTGCATGCCAGCTCTGGGATAAAACAAAATGCGCTAAAATCTTATGTATAATATATAGGAATCTACTTAGGGAAGCCTTTTTCTGAATGCTGTTCCATGCTCTTTCATTTGGCCATGACGTGACAAGCAATAATGATCTCGTATTCCTTTATTCAACTCTTATGAGGGATGTTTCAATGTGCAGATCAAAGATTACTTTATTAGTAATCATATTGTAATTAGTACTCCCCTGACTATTTATAGTTGGAAAATGTAGTGTAAGCAAGGAGTTTTATGTTTCTTATTAAGCAAAACAAATTGACTTTTCCAGGAGCATTACTTCTTTTGTTTAATAGTCAGAGGATAATTGAATAAGATAATTGTTTTATTCCTGTATCAATAAAATAGTGGCAAAGCAGCACCATAACAATTAGGTACTATAAAAGTCAAATATATATTTTTATTCTTCAATATTTTTAGCAGAAAATTAATTTCACATGACAATGTATATTAAAGATTGCATATTTATCTAAATAGAACAGACGAGAGAAAGAGGAGAAAAAGAAGATAGAATTTTGCAGATATACGGAGAGAAAAAAGGCACTCTAATGGTTATTTACAACTTCGCTAAAGAATCAGCACAAATGGTGCATGAAGCAATTTAACTGAGAATAAAAAAGATGTATTTCAAGGGAAAATGGTGGTCTGAGGATGGACATTGAAATTATGTTTCTGTCAGCCTCATCAAACCTTGACATACCCCTGTGTGTATGGGTAATGTGCCAATAGACTGGACCTAAATGTTTTTTATCTCTTTAAAATGTGTCATCTTTAATTTATATTTTGTAGAGGTGAACTTTTTTTACTTTTTTTTTTAAATAATGTGGATAAAGTTTAGCATGTTGAGCCCTTACAATTAACTCCTGTGACTTATATACCCATGTTGTTGAGAATGTACTGCCTTTTGATTTATGAGTGGTATTTCTCTGTGCCCACTATCCAATGCATTTATTTTTTTTTCCCTCTTCACTTTTTTGTACTTTACGTGATTATTGTATCAGATTTCCCATTTCTTCTGCACTGCAAGGAAAGAGAACCTAAAATTAGTAACTGGCAAATATTACACTCAATCAATGGCTTTTAGCTATTTTGTTTTAAATATGTACTATTATATTATTATGTGTGCTAATTTCTAGTGCCTCCTTTAATTTTTGCCTTCTAACCTGACAGCCGCAGAGTACTGTGAGCCTGGGGAAGTGATTCTGGGTGTAGAGATATTGATCTAATCAATCATAGTATTTCAACAATTGCTAAACTTTGGGGAATACAGGACAACCTTTAAGCTTAAGCATGCAGTTCTGTGCCCCCTTATCCCTGGACCCACATTTAGTGCAATCACATCTTGATTGTGATTAACACTGATAAATACAAGGGGAAACTCTAGCTCAGCAGTATGAGCTGCTGATTACCAACATTGGGACTTTTAAACTGATACATCTTGTACAGTGCTGATGGTACTGGGGTGTATGTGAACATTAAAAAAAACTATCAAAATGTTGCTGTTCATTGAAAAGAATGGATTTCAGAAGTCCCAGTAGTAAAAATAATTTCTTTATGTTAATAATAAAAATATTGTGATCATTGGCAGTTAATAGTATATAGCTAAAGGCGTTCAAACTTGAAAACTGTAGACTAAGCAAACATACTGCACAGCCTATCTGAAAGAAGTAGTCTGGATTGTGTAATAACCTGTACAGTGTACAAAAGGGAGCACACTGAAATATGCATTCTACAGCAGGGGGTCCCCTACCCCTGATCTATGGACTGGTATCAATCCAAGGGCTGTTGATAACGCTGCACAGCAGGACTGTCATGGACTGCGGTTGTGCAATTAGCAACCTGTGTGTAAATCTCCCAGGTCTCCCAACTGGCTGTCGATGTCATCTTATCAGCAGGGCATAGGGCAGGAGAATCTACAGATTGGGACAGAGGGTGGGAGACTTTTCCTATTAACAAGTTGGTAATCACCTGCTTGTTAACATGATAAGTTTGGCAGCTCCCTCCGCCCCAATCCGAAACTCCTCTCGCCCCATGCTCTGCTGATAAGATGACATCAGCGTCCAGGTTGGAGACCTGGCACAATAGAAACAGGCTGATAAATTCCTCTACCATGCTGAAGGCTAGACTGTGCAGGGGAACTGTGTTGTTAAAGAGGAAAGGGGCCATGGCTGCAAGAAGGACTGTGATGGGGAGGGCCATGGCTGCAAGGACTGTGATGGGGCAATGACTGCAAGAGGCACTGTGATGGGAGGCTATGACTGCAAGGGGTGCTGTGATGTGAGGGAGCAATGACTGCAAGGGGAACTGTGATGGGGGGGCATTACTGCAAGAGGCACTGTGATGGGGGGCCATGATTGCAAGGTGTACTGTGATGGGGGACTATGGCTGCAAGTGGCATTGTGAGGGAGGGCATGACTGCAAGGGGTGCTGTGATCGGGGCCATAACTGCAAGGTGCACTGCGATGGGGCCTATTGCTGCAAGGGGCACTGTGAGAGAGGGCATGACAGCAAAGGGCACTGTGATGGAGGGACTGCTTTAAAGGGGGAACTGTGATGTAAAGGAGGTGTTAGGAATGGACTGGCCAGCAATGGTGGGACTCACCTGCCTTTTGATCTGCAGTACCGGGCTGGCCAGCGGGTGCTCCCAGCAATCAGAGACTCAACCTTTCAGCCAGCTAACACCTGGAACTGATGATACTGGTGTATTTAAGGGATGGCCAGACTTGCAGACTCTGCCTTGGTGTTGTGTTTGTCCTGGGCCCTGTATCTGTCCTGCATCCTGTTTCTGTTCCTTTGTTGACTTCTCCTGCTCTGATCCTGGCTTGTGACCCTGACCATCCCTCTGTCTGACCCTCTGTACTACGCTGCTTGCTACCTGTTCTGATCCCTGGCTTGTGACCCGGACCATCCCTCTGCCTGACCCTCTGTACTATGCTGCTTGCTACCTGCTGAACCTGGCCTGTGACCCCGACCATTCTCCGCTTGCTCCCCCTGTACCTACCTGCCCAATTGATATTGACCCGGCCTGCCTGACGACGCTTGCTTGTATATACTGTTATCTGTGGGTGGTTTGGTTTGGTTTGTTTGCACCGTATTATGTTTTAGTATTGCACTGCGCGTTTATGTTTGTACTGTTAGTGTTAATAAATTATATTGTTTATAACATATCTGAGGTCTGCGTTTCCCTGCATCAGTCACACACCTCTGGTCATACCGGGGAGCCCTGACATTACACCAAGGCCAATCCTGACCAGAAGTGGCTGCACAGGGAAGCCATCTTGGCTTGTTGATGGGAAGGATGGATCTTGAGGAGGTTGAGTATTTATATATCTGCTAGTGTTTGATGACAGGGAGTATGCTTATCAAACTCTGAAGGAGTATACCCGGGATGAATTGCTAGAATGTATACGGCTCGCTCATGTTCTAGTAGATCAGGGCACAGTGTTCTCTGAGGTGCAGCCATTGATTGAGGTTTGTGCAGAGTTGGTTTCATCTGGTTCCCCCGAATGCAGGGATGAATTTTTGCCACCATTTAGTGCAGACCAGGTAGAGTCCCTGGTGTGGTTATTAGAGGATGATGTGGGTTACTTTCTGGAGCGTTATTCCACATGTTCACCACAGACACTGAGAGATTGTATAAACGCAGTGCAGTCATTGACCAGACAGACTTTGTGTAAGCTCAGCTTTGTTCAACCCCTACTGCAGACATGGACAGATTTGTTGCACCCAGCCTCAGTCAGCTTACAAAGACCCAGTCCTGCTTCTAACTCTACTCCTGTATTCCCACCAGCTCCTCCAGTTACAGCCCAGTATACTTGGCTATCTACCGCATGTCAGTACCCTGTTCCCACTCGCTGCACCTATCCTGCCTTTAACCCTGTAAAAAAGCCCTCTGTAGCAACTGCTCCCTCTCCTGTTCCATCCTCCAGTTCTTCTCTGTCTCCAGCTGCTCCATTCGTTTGCAGACCTGCGTTTACTTGCAGTGCTCCAGTAGTTAAAACCAGAAAAAAGCGAAAATTCTTTCCAACCAATACCATCCTGCCAGTATCCAAACCGGTGAGCCTGCCTTCCGTGGTTCAGACTGATGCCTGTACGCAGCCTGAAGCCTCTACTCGGCCTGAAGCCTCTACTCGGCCCTGAAGCCTCTACTCGGCCTGACCTGTACTCGGCCTGATGCCTGTACTCGGCCTGATGCCTCTACTCGGCCTGAAGCCTCTACTCGGCCTGAAGCCTCTCCTCAGCCTGAAGCCTCTACGGGCCTGAAGCCTCTACTCGGCCTGATGCCTCTACTCGGCCTGATGCCTCTACTCGGCCTGAAGCCTCTACTCGGCCTGATGCCTGTACTCGGCCTGATGCCTCTACTCGGCCTGATGCCTCTACTCGGCCTGATGCCTCTACTCGGCCTGATGCCTCTACTCGGCCTGATGCCTCTACTCGGCCTGATGCCTCTACTCGGCCTGAAGCCTCTACTCGGCCTAATGCCTCTACCCAGCATGATGAACTGATCCAGCCTGACGATCCTATTAGGCCAGTTGACTCGATGCCCGCCGTTGATCCAGATGATCCGGTACCTGATCCGGTGCCCGCTGTCGTGCCAATTGACTCAGAGCCCGCTGTCGTACCTGGTGACTCGGTGCCCACTGCCTTGCCAGATGACGCGGTGCCCGCTGGCAAGCCAAATGACCTGATGCCTGGTGACCTAGTGTCCGCTGTCATACCTGATGACCCGATGCCCGCTGTCGAGCCAGACAATCCGGTACTGATGACCCGGTGCCCACTGTCGTGCCTGTTGACTCGGAGACCACTGCCTTGCCAGATGACGCGGTGCCCGCTGTCGAGCCAAATGACCTGATGCCTGGTGACCCGATGCCCGCTGTCCAGCCAGACGATTCAATGTCTGCCCCGGTGCCCGCGGTCATGCCAGTTGACTCGGAGCCCACTGCCTTGCCAGATGACGCGGTGCTCGCTGTCGAGCCAAATGACTTGATGCCTGGTGACCCGATGCCCGCTGTCCGGTCAGACGATCCAATGTCTGACCCAGTGCCCGCGGTCATACCAGTTGACTCGGAGCCCACTGCCTTGCCAGATGACGCGGTGCCCGCTGTCGAGCCAAATGACCTGATGCCTGGTGACCCGATGCCCGCTGTCCAGCCAGACCATCCAATGTCTGACCCAGTGCCTGCGGTCATACCAGTTGACTCGGAGCCCACTCTCCTTGCCAGATCGTGCCTGGTGTCTCGGTGCCCGCCGCTCCGCCTGGGGGCCCGAGACCTGTCGCTCCGCCTGGGGGTCGGCACCTGCCACTGTCCGCTCCCAGCCTGAGGGCCCGAGACCTGCCGCTCCCGCCTGGGGGTCCGCCTGCCTGCCGCCCACTGTCCCTGGTGTCCGCCTGAGGGCCCGAGACCTGTCGCTCCACCTGGGGGTCCGGCGCCCGCCGCTCCGCCTGAGGGCCCGAGACCTGTCGCTCCTCCTGGGGGTCCGGCGCCCGCCGCTCCGCCTGAGGGCCCGAGACCTGTCGCTCCGCCTGGGGGTCCGGCGCCCGCCGCTCCGCCTGAGGGCCCGAGACCTGTCGCTCCACCTGGGGGTCCGGCGCCCGCCGCTCCGCCTGAGGGCCCGAGACCTGTCGCTCCATCCTGGGGGTCCGGCGCCCGCCGCTCCGCCTGAGGGCCCGAGACCTGTCGCTCCTCCTGGGGGTCCGGCGCCCGCCGCTCCTCCGCCTGAGGGCCCGAGACCTGTCGCTCCGCCTGGGGGTCCGGCGCCGCTCCGCTCCCGCCTGAGGGCCCGAGACCTGTCCCGCTCGCTCCTGGGGGTCCGGCGCCCGCCGCTCCGCCTGAGGGCCCGAGACCTGTCGCTCCTCCTGGGGGTCCGGCGCCCGCCGCTCCGCCTGAGGGCCCGAGACCTGTCGCTCCGCCTGGGGGTCCGGCGCCCGCCGCTCCGCCTGAGGGCCCGAGACCTGTCGCTCCACCTGGGGGTCCGGCGCCCGCCGCTCCGCCTGAGGGCCCGAGACCTGTCGCTCCATCTGGGGGTCCGGCGCCCGCCGCTCCGCCTGGGGGCCCGAGACCTGTCGCCCCGCCTGGGGGTCCGGCGCCCGCCGCTCCGCCTGGGGCCCGATGCCTGTCGCCCCGCCTGGGGGGGCCGATGCCCCCCTCCGCCCTGGGGGCCCGATGCCCGTCGCCCCGCCTGGGGGCCCGATGCCCGTCGCCCCGCCTGGGGGCCCGATGCCCGTCGCCCGCCTGGGGGCCCGATGCCCGTCGCGCCCCGCCTGGGGGCCCGCCCGGGGGCCCGTGCCGCTCCGCCCGGGGGCCCGATGCCTGCCGCGCCCGGGGGGCCGGTGCCTGCCCCCGCCCGGGGGCCCGGTGCCTGCTGCTCCGCCCGGGGGGGCCCGGTGCCTGCTGCCCGCCCGGGGGCCCGGTGCCTGCCGCCCGCCCGGGGGCCCGGTGCCTGTCGCCCCGCCCGGGGGCCCGGTGCCTGTGCCTGCCTAGCCCCGCCCGGGGGCCCGGTGCCTGCTGCTCCGCCCGGGGGCCCGGTGCCTGCTGCTGCTCCGCCCGGGGGCCCGGTGCCTGCTGCTCCGCCCGGGGGCCCGGTGCCTGCTGCCCCCTGCCGCCCCGGGGGCCCGGTGCCCGTCGCCCCGCCCGGGGGCCCGGTGCCTGTGCCTGTAGCCCCGCCCGGGGGCCGGTGCCTGCTGCTCCGCCTGGTGGCCCGCTGCCTGCTGCTTCGCCTGGTAATCCGATGTGCCTCTGCCCGGAGTCCTGCCCGATGTGCCTCTGCCCGGAGTCCTGCCCGATGTGCCTCTGCCCGGAGTCCTGCCCGATGTGCCTCTGCCCGGAGTCCTGCCCGATGTGCCTCTGCCCGGAGTCCTGCCCGATGTGCCTCTGCCCGATGTGCCTCTGCCCGGAGTCCTGCCCGATGTGCCTCTGCCCGGTGTGCCTCTGCCCGGTGTGCCTCTGCTCGATGTGCCTCTGCCCGGAGTCCAGCCCGGTGTGCCGCTGCCCGGAGTCCTGCCCGGTGTGCCAGTCTTTGATATCCCGCCAGTTGCCAGACCCGGGCGGTGGAACATTTTGCCCAGCTAGGACTGTTTGGAGCGTCCTGAGGCCGCTCCTTGAGGGGGGGGTACTGTTAGGAATGGACTGGCCAGCAATGGTGGGACTCACCTGCCTTTTGATCTGCAGTACCAGGGCTGGCCAGCGGGTGCTCCCAGCAATCAGAGACTCAACCTTTCAGCCAGCTAACACCTGGAACTGATGATACTGGTGTATTTAAGGGATGGCCAGACTTGCAGACTCTGCCTTGGTGTTGTGTTTGTCCTGGGCCCTGTATCTGTCCTGCATCCTGTTTCTGTTCCTTTGCTGACTTCTCCTGCTCTGATCCTGGCTTGTGACCCTGACCATCCCTCTGTCTGACCCTCTGTACTACGCTGCTTGCTACCTGTTCTGATCCCTGGCTTGTGACCCGGACCATCCCTCTGCCTGACCCTCTGTACTATGCTGCTTGCTACCTGCTGAACCTGGCCTGTGACCCCGACCATTCTCCGCTTGCTCCCCCTGTACCTACCTGCCCAATTGATATTGACCCGGCCTGCCTGACGACGCTTGCTTGTATATACTGTTATCTGTGGGTGGTTTGGTTTGGTTTGTTTGCACCGTATTATGTTTTAGTATTGCACTGCGTTTATGTTTGTACTGTTAGTGTTAATAAATTATATTGTTTATAACATATCTGAAAAAACAGTTCCTGGTGCCAGAAATGTTGAGGACCACTGTTTTTACAACACAATGTGAGGCTGGGGCAGAGCATGTCACATATAACACAATGTACAGAGTGGGGAAACCTAGCGGATATCATGTACAGCACTGTACATGGGGTGGGGAACCCTGGAATATATCATGTAAGATGAGTTACCTCCAAAACCAACACTCATTTACAAAAAAAGTCACACATCTTTGGAGCAAATTGGTTAGCAGTGAAGTAGAGTCTCCAAAACACAGAGAAGTTTCATTTTTTTAATGAAAGGGGCTTCTTTGCATGTGACCATTGATATGGCTGTAGGAGCAAGAGAAATATGAGGATAAGGAAAACATTTACATCTAAGAGCACAGGTAGAGAACAGGGGTGGACTGACCATTTGGAAACTTGGGCACTGCCCGAAGGGTCAGTAGGGGGCCCCATGAGATGCCCTTGGAACCCTTTTCATAGGCTTTTTTGAGTTTGGACAAGGACACGGGGGCCCCATGATCCCCTATTGCCCAGGGGCCCCATGAGTTGTCAGTCCGCCCCTGGTAGAGAATATGAGATATGTGACATCATCACATGCCATACAGAAGGTGTGTTATGTGGCATAGAATGCCCATGCAGGCTGCAATACATTGACTGCACAAAAAATAAGTTAGCCAATAAAGTTCAGGAACATGCATATAACATTCCTATTGGCCTTAAATAACACAATTTATCAAAAACACTTTGCATTTTACCATACTAAAGACCCATCTGGATTAGTGTTTTGGGGTATCCAAAAATATAGCAGGCACTGGAGAGGAAGCAAAAAAAGCAAAAACACTGAGCCAGAAAGAATCTAAATAGATATGTTATGCAGACAATGGCCTTAAAAGGCTTAATATTGAATTTACTGTTAGCCTGTTTTATTAAAGATTTTTAGCATATTTTTTTAACATCAGATTTTGCAGTGCAGTCTTTTTAGGAACATTTTTTTTCAATGTTTTTGTATTATTTTTTTTTTTTTTTTACCATATTTGCTATATGTTTTTTGGTATTTAGGATGTTCTATAAAAATAAGGATGTATTATAATTTTTATTAAGGTTTTATTAATATTTTATTGAAAATATAAAGTGGTATTAAGTTGTATATAATTGATAGTAAGTATAGTAGTATTTTATATGGATGGAACAGTATTAGCATACAGTGATACATAGTTATTCAATGCATCTTATTTTACTTTTCATATGGTACATACAGTATATGGTCTTTTTATATTTCTTTAGTACATACAGCATATGGTCTTTTTATATATGTTAGTAGCGGTTAGCATATCAGAGTATGTTTTTAGCCATTCTGAATATGTAAACATTTATGTATGTTGTTGTACTAGGATGCAAAACAATGGCGGCTGCTAACAGATTCCAGCAATAATGATCAGTGGGTAAGTATATTCATTCTTGTACAGCATTCTGGCATCTTATAAAATTACTCACATAGTAAAATAATGTCCACTGTACAACAAATGGCGGACATGAGGGAGTTACTATGGAATTAATAAACACATTTTCTATTTAATTGTTTAGCAAAGGGGTAGAAGTTCACATTTTAATTTATTTTTAACATATATTTGTGCCAGGAAACTAATACAGCTAATGCTAATTCTCATACAGCTAATTCTAGTTCTCATGCAGCAAATGCTCATTTCTGTGCAGCTAATGCTCGTGCACATGTACCAGCACCATACAAGCTCAGGCTAACATCCATCGTGCATATAACATGTAGGCGCATATGTATCAGTGTGCAGATCCTCCCACATTGGTGTGCATATTTTTCTACATTGATGCCAAGCTGCCTATTTAAAGGAGATCCTGTTGTTGCTAATTGCTGAATGTTCTTCACCTCCCTGTGATCCATGTTCCTGTTTTTGCTGACTGATCTTCCGTTGCTGACCATGCTCCATGGATCCTGGATTCTGACCACAGCTTGCCTCTAACTATTTTCTGCCTGCTTCCCAGGTGCTGCCCTCTGCTTGTTACTGGACCTTGCTCTGCCTGCCTCCCTGGTACTGGCCCCATCCTTCTTCCCAACCACACTGCTGTCTCACCATGTGTGACCCTGGCTCACCTTGAATACGCCCTTGAATGTGGTCGTCACCTGCTATCCAGCTATGTGCTTCTCTGAGCCTTTTACCTCTGTCACCACATTCAGGGGTGTCTAGACCAGAGCCACAAGGAAAGACCTCTCGTCAGCTCGGCCTCCAACCAAGGTTTGTCACAATTTGGTGGATTTAAATAAAAAAGTTGCATATACACAGTGAGCACTGTAGATATTTTTCTTATGTGAGCTTCTGGTACATAATGGAGGAAGAATAAGTCATGATGGAGATGGACTGAGGAGCAGAAAAATCCAGAGAGGGGGGCATCATCCCTGGCTATAGCACCCTGCTTAAAGGGGAAGCACAGGAAACCTAATTTATGTTAGGTCAAATGATCAGGTGATCATCTACCAGTGGTGCAGTGCAAAAGGCTCTCCACCAGTGATGCAGTGTTCAAAATTCCCCTTGTTGCTCTGTCATGGGAACTTCCATGTTCTCCTGGTCTACTTCTGATTGGTCAGGTCTAAATAATGTAGTTCTATGGCATGCTGGAATTGTACAATGAGCTGACAGTGTACAATTTGCAAATAATACTAGCAGGTATTGAAAAATATATTATAGTGGAAGAGACATGCAGAATCTCTTCTGCCATGAAACCTACCTGCAGCATTTAAAAAAAAAACAGATTTATTTTATTGAAGTTCTACCACTTCCTGCACATCATGTTTCACTTTGGTGAGAGAGACTGCTGGTGGGACTAAAGCAGCCCATAAATTATGCAGTTTTCTT